TAAATCCTTTGTTTCAGTTTCATTATTATTTAATTTAATTAGTTTACGAAAACTGTCTAATGAATTTTCTTGTTTAGATAATATGTTCACTTTATTAATATAATGCGTTGAATATAAAATTGTCAACTGATTTATAGTGAACTAGCGATCTTCTTTATTAAAGGTTTCAAATTTAGTTGATGGATCGAGAAATTCGGAAACCATAGAAGATTGTAAAAGGAAAGGCCTGTAATTTTCCAATTTTACTTTCATTCCTTTTGCTATTTCGTGATATGCATTATTATTTAAAATGTAATAATCTAGATGAGCAAAAAGACCTTGAACGATTATGCGTAGAGACCCGTGGGAAGGTAATGAGGCATTTGAAAGTATTAAGGTTGCTTTATAAAAAGGTCGAAGGAATTCTAACATGTTCTCAATTATTTCCCAATCATTTTGTTCTAAATATTCATTTTTTAAATTAGGACGTGATTGCACAAGACCATCAATAACATCCTTAATTTCAACAAATCGTTCAAGCATAAGATAAGTAGAATTCCATCTTGTGTCGATATTGAGCTCGGGATAAAGGGAAAGATGATTTAGAATAGAAGATATTTTTTTAATATCTTCTAGAAGCGATGGTGAGTTCCTAATTTTATTACAAAAATGTTGCGTTTTTTTTATTTGGTTTGAATAAAATTTTTGACCTTCTTTCACAACAAGATTTAAAATATGTGCTGCACAGCGCACATATATAAGTCCGGGATTCATATTATGCTGAAGGTAACGCAAGCAAGTTTGGTTATTGGATGCGTTATCATCCGTGAACCTGATTACCTTTTCCTTGATCCCGAAGTCTTCTGCAAGTTCAAAGATCTTTTCTCCAAGATAATCACCGGTATGCGTATCATGTAAAGGAACAAGGTCAAGGAGAATAGTATGTATTGTCCATTCGACATCGACCCAATGGACAGTGACTCCGAGGAAGGGTTGCTGAGTGCATGCTGTCCATATATCTAAGGTGAAGGCTAATTTACTTTTGTTATTTTTTAAATGTTCTTTTACTTTTATTTTCTCTAATTCAAATTGTTTTTTAATGTTTTCAGATATGGATTAATGACAAGGGATTTTGTAATGTGGATCAAGGGCAGTAACAAATTTATTAAAGCAATTCTCTTCTAATAGAGAAAAAGGCTGTTGACTAATTATAATGAACTCCAATAGACTATGATTTAATAATTCCACATGATCTTTATCAACAATTGAATATGGAGAAGGACGAACGATTTTTGCAGATTTTTTAAATTTTTTAAAAATAAGTGGATGTTTTCGTTCGAAGTGGCGTGTTATTGTTGATATCGATATGAGTGAACCCCATTTACCTATAATATCATCTTTATCACAAGATTTACAAACACGAGTGTCATCTTCAAGCACATCAAGATACTTGTAAATAGGTGCTAGATTTTTTTTTTTTTTTGATTTTTTAGTGGTTTTATTCGGACTACTAATATTTTCAGAAAGGTTTTTGAAGAAGAATTTGATTGTCGTAGTAGACATAGTGTTAATAGATTAGATCGAAAGGTGACAAAAAAAAAA